CTGCAGGCCGGGGGACACACAGAGCCTGGGCAGGGGGCACTGCCCGCTGGGGGGGTCTGCATGGACCCCCAGAGCCAGTGGGTGTCGCAGGATCCCCAGGAAGGGGCAAGGAGTAGGGCAGGTCCTATAGCCCACAGAGCTGCACGTGAGGATACCCAGACACAGGCGCGTGCAGCTCCATGTGCGTGCACAGCTTGGGGTGGTCCTACACACATACATGCACATACATACATGCATGCACACAACCCCCCATTCCTTGGTGTGCATGTGCACACACGTCCAGCTTGCGCCAACACGTGTGTGCGTGCACGCACACGCAGTGGCCCCCTCCTGTCTGGAGCTGGCAGGACTGGGGGGGCTTGGGCAGTGCAGCCCCCCGCCCCACCGGGGCCTGGCGGGCTGCAGGGCCACCTCCCAACCTGGCAGGGATCACACAGCCCCTGGCTTGAACAGTCCCCTCACGCACCGACACACACCAATGTACACACGCATATCCCACGTGTGTCACCACCATGCCACGACTGCAGTCCCACCCCCTGCCCCTCTCAGCCCCCCCCTCCCCCTGCAGCATCCGTCCATCTGTCCATCTGTCCATCCCCCCATGGTGCCTGTGAGGGGGGGGCTGAATGGAGTAGCACCGTCCATCTGTCTGTCCTCCTCCGGTGCCCAGGCTGTGGGTGTCAAGCTGGTCCATGGGTGTCTCCCCGCTCCTGGCCCGGTCTGTAGTCCAGGGTACAGCCCAGCCCCAGGCGGGCACATGGTGGGGCTCCCCCAGTGGCCCCCGTCCCTGCCCCACGCAGTGCCATGCAAAGCTCCGGGTGCCACGTCCACTCCGCTCTGCCCCCGGGGCTGAGGGGAGGGGGGAGGGGGCGGGTTCAGCCAAAATAGGGGCGGTCACTCTGGAAGTTGTAGTCGGGGCAAACCTTCTGCACCAGCTTGTAGTCGAGACTGAGGAAGGAGACGAAGACGCAGATGACTTTGAAGGGCTTGGCACAGAGCCAGGCAGCGTGGCTCTGCGTGTGCTCCGTGAAGCACGCCTGCGCCGGGTCGTACAGGCAGGGCCGCGGCTTGCGGGCACGCTTGGTCTGCTCGTACTCCACGTGGCAGTTGAAGGCCTTGGGCAGCGTGGACTGCGCCGGCACCGGGGCAGGCACGGGCACCAGAGGCCGCGGCAGCACCAGGTCGAACTCCACCACCTTGGAGGGCGGCACGATGCTGACCGAGACGTTGCCCAGGCTGGACGAGTTGTGGCGGAAGTAGACGCTGAAGGTGCCGTTGACATGGTCCACAATCTTGCCCGTCACCAGGAGGCTGAACTTAAGTGTGCGGATGTTCACGTAGAAGTCGCCCCAGCCGAAGAGCTTGCGGGCACGCCCAGCCTTGCGCCGCACCGGGCCACCCCCCTCTGTGCCCGTCCGGTTCTGGGGCCATGGCCAGGCCCAGGGGCCAGCGGGCGGCTCGGCCTTGGACTCAGCCCCCGCAAAGAGGCGCCCGGCTGGCTTGAAGGCGCCATAGGGGCCTGGCTTGAGCAGCCCTGAGGGGCCCAGCTCCACGTAGCCCAGCGTCTTGGGGGGCTGCGCAGCCGCGCCGGGCACCTGCAAGGGGGAGAGGGATCAGTGCGGACGGCCCAGCCCCCACCCTCTCCTGCTGCCCCCATCCAGACCCCCCACCCATTGGTAGCAGGGGGTACTGAGACCCCCGGAAGCCCCAAAGCCGGGGGTCTTGAGACAGCTGCTCCAAAGCCCCCCCAGCAGCTGGCCAGGGCCAGCGCGGGGCAAGACGGATGGCTGCACTGATGCTGGCTGGCAGGCTGTGAGTTGCACCTGGCACTGTGCCCGTGCCGTATGGCACTGTGCAGCCCCCCTCCCCGCTGCAGCTGTGCCCCCAACCTCTCTGCTCCCCCTAGCTGGAGCAGAGCCTGGAGCAGGAAACAGGCAAAGCCAGCAGCTCCCCCCACATGCCCCTTCCCAGCCACCCCCCCCCAAAGAAGCCAGGGGTCCTGGGCCCCAGGCACAAGGATGGGGAGTGGAAAATACCCCTCCACACCACCACCATGCACACACATATGCACACCCCTCCATGCGCCCACACAGGGGCACCCCCCTGTGCCTCTCTCCCGAATGCAGCTGCAGGCTTGGCTTCCAGCTGTGCACACACCTGGATGCACACACACTCACACGTGTTCACACCAGCTCAGCCAAGCCCCGGAGGGGGAAGCGGGGGGCCGTGCTGCGCCAGTCGCGGGCGTCAGTCACAGGTACACGGCGCTGGCAGGGAGCCTCGTTAGCGGCAACAAGGAGTTTGGAGGAGGGAGGGCAGGGAGGGGGTGACAGACGGTGCCCGCGGGTGCTCTGGCCTGAGGCGGGCTGTGCGGGCATGGGGCACCCGAGCCAGGCAACACAGAGCTAGGGGAGGGGGCTGGGGCAGGGGCTCAGGCTGGGGTCTCTTGGGCTCTGGCAGCTGTGGGCACCACATAACAGGGTGGGGGGGCTAGGCTAGTCCCACAGGTGGCGGGGTGCCAGGCCCGGGGCCCAGGACCTGTGGGGCAGCTCGTTAGCAGCGCCAGCCCCATTAGGAGGCAGGCAGAAGGCGGGGGGGACACCCTGAGCCGCTCGTT